ACAAGGGTGCAGCCGGGCAAAGGGCAAATGCACAGGCTCTGAAGGGACAGTGTGTGGGCCACTTGTGCTGTAGTGGTTAAGAATGTGACCCTGGTAGCTCAGAATTGAATCACAGCTCCGCTCTGTAGAGAACGTACTAAGCTGTCTGTGCCTCAGTATCCTCAGTCTGCAAAGGGGAGCCACTCCCTCAGAACGTGGTGAAGACTAATGGAGACACCACACGCGGTGTGTTAGCATAACATTCGCACGAGGAAAAACTCGGTGAATGTACATCGTCCATAGCAGTGAAGCTGGGAGTGGGGAGGGACACATGCAGGCCGACCCCAGCCCCAGCTCTCACCTCCACAGGCCCTTCCTGAGGAACGTAGCTTCTTTCTTGCCAAAGGGTGTCTGAAGCCCAGGCCTGTACAATATGGTCACTTGGGAAATTTTGAGCAACAGTGTTGGGATGTGGGTTGGTGGCAACACCATCTGATAAGTTGCTATGGGAGATATTTTATTTTAAGGGCCTATTTTCCCCTCTTCCACCACCCCCACTAACACCAATGGTTCTCAACCTTTTTTGGATCGTGGCCCTTTTCAGAAATGTGTGACTGCTAGGGATCCTCTTGCCCAAACAGTATGTACCCACATATCTGTAGCATTTTGCACTTTACTTCAGGGGTTCTATGGATATGAGGATTTGGCTTTCAGTTCTAGACTTTCAGACTGTTCTAGACTTCCAGACTCAAAGACCTAGAGGCATCTCTGCTGTCTGCCTCCTGCCTCCGAAGCCACAGCTACAAAACTCCAAGGCACAGATAGGCCTGCTTTTCTGGACCATAGTCTGAAAACTGCTGTCCAGAAAAATGTGTTAGGTGTCAGTACCTGCTGTCAGACTTGAAACCCTGACAAGGCCATGGGGATATAAAAGGAGCGCCACGAGCCATGTCTTCCCTGAAAACACCAACAGCATTAGCCGTAACAATGAGGGCAGCTGACTTTTCTGGGCGTAAATATGTGTCAGACACTGAGCTAAGCTCCTTACATGCATTCTCGTCTTTGATCTTGCAGGACCCTCAAGATGGGGATGCCATCGTTTGGTGCCATCGAACGGGGATTCTCATTTTACAGATGAGGGGCTAAGGCACAGAGTGGTTAGGTAACTCACTCAAGGTCACACAGTTAGTGAGTGGTAAGATTCAAGGCCAGTCCCAGAACCCTGCTGTCAACTGGTGTACTTCTTGGCCACCCAAGGCTATCACAAGTACCATACTCCCATCTCCTATTTTAATGCCCCGAGCTTTCACCTTAATAAAGACACATTAGACTTGAGTGGGTATAAGTTCCAGACACAGTGAGTCTCATATCCTGGGCCAATCTTTTTCTTCAAAATGAACCTGCATGGGAACCGATGCTGAAAGATGAAGAGAGGTCCCAGACAGGCTTAGCATCCATACGAATAAGGAGATAAAACAATCTCCCCACAGCCCACCCCCCCGTGAAATTGCTATGGGCATCTTTGAGCCAATGAGTACTTCAGAAAATTCTGGGAACATCCCTGCTCAAACCCCAGCTCTGCAAAAGGTGGACACCAGAAAGGGGGAGGTACGAATATAGTTTACCCTGTCCTGCCTGCCAGGAAGGGAAAAAGCATGCTTCCCTAGGAAGCTCGCATGTGACAGTGGCCTATGGACATATCGGGGCAGGACTGAAGGAGGGACTGCTTGCTCTGCTGGGAAGAAGCAATGAGAGTGAGCAGGAGGGAAGGGCCACCTGCAGGAGGACTGAGCAACCTTTCTGAGGGAGGAGGGGGGTGGGAGGGAGGCTCTGGCAGGAGGGGAGGCGGGAGCAGAGGGAAGGCAGGATCGTTCAGGCAGTGAGAGAGGGCAGCCCCGCTCTATTTCCCAGGCTGCTCTCTGGGATGCAGGCAGGAAGGTCGAGTGTATTACACTGGCCCCACCTCCTGAAGCTCTCTCTGCAGCTGCTGGACTGGACACAAAAGCGTGAGGGACAGAGACACCACCTCTGCTGATTTGTACCAAACTCAGGTTCCAGGGCCTGAGAGGCCACGTGTGACAGAAGCCGGAGTGGGGGACCGGCGCAGCTGTCTGCATTTCCCAGGTAAGCCTCTATTTGTGTCAGAGCCAAAGGTAGAGAGCAAGGCCTAAAGGCAGAGGAGAAGGTGGGAGGGGGCCGCCCTGGGATGGACCTAGAACAATCTGCGGAAGGAAAGCAGGAAGAGGGGCAGGGGCCGGAGCTGGAACAAGCCCTCAGGCCAGGCTTCTGCAAGGTGTCCCTTTATGAGGTGAGTAAGCTGGAGGCTGCGTGTGGGCCACTCCTGGCTGGTAAGGGTGGTGGAAGTTCCAGGAAAGGGCTGTGCTCTGACAGCCTCTGGGGGTCAGCGTATCTGGAGAGCAGAAGCTCCAGCCACACCGTGGCACAGTGCTCTTCCAGACCAGGATTATTGGTGTAGACTCGGCCAGAAAGTCCCACCCTGAGCCCCTGCCTTCCCCTTGGTCTTGCTGGTGGTCAAGAGAGAACCTCTGGCAGCTCCAGGCAGAAAAAAGCAGGACATACTCTCTAGGGCTGTGGCTTCAGACAGGGGAGGGATTTCCCATCTGAAAAGACAATCTTCTGTCAGGCTTCTGAGAAGCTGTGAGCTGCCAGAGTGCGGCGTGCTGCCCAGAGGAGGCTCACCTGCGACACGTATGTAAAGTTGAATCCGTGTGCTGGAGGGGGTGTGGGGGTGGGCGAAGTGAGTGGTCTGCAGGCAGTCCCGTCTGAACGTGTGCAGAGTGTTGTCCCAGAGAAAGAAAGAAGCCCAAGGAATCCAGCATCCCTTTGCTGTCCGTGCTGGCGGACCACGGTCCCTGATCAGGCGTGCTGGCCTGAGGAAACCATGTGAAGCTGGCCAGCGCAGTGTCCCTTCTGTTAACCAGACAGACACACACGCACGCAGCCACTCTTCTAAGAACCAGTGTGCTGAAAATACATCAAGCCTGGTCTCCTGCCCAAGGCTATGCCAGCCACACTCTGACCTGTTACGGGGATAATGAGGGAGGTCAGAGGGAGGGAGTGGTCCCTGGGCTTGAGGCCACAAAGGGACTAAAGACCCTGGACCCCAGCCACTGTGGCATTATGCCCTCCTACCATATGTGGCTTCTGTTCCCACATACAAAGTGAGGACTCCTCCCCATTTCTCCCCTCCTACACACACACACACACACACACACACACACACACTCACGATAACTGGGTTGATGATCAGGCAGGAGCTGGGGGCAGGGCAGTTTGGTGAGATGGGGCCAGGATATGGCTTTATTCATGGCCGAGCTTACACTTGATCAGGGAAGCTGTCAAAACTGATTACAGACGTTGGAGACTTTAAAAAGTTAGAAAAGAAAACTGGTTAAAAGATGTGCACCTTGACCACCAAACTGCTTCAACTGTCCATCTGGACACCTCCCAGAAGTCCTGCTGGGGGCCAGAGGAGCTGAGAGCAGAGGGGACAACGAACTAGTCACTGAATGCCAGCCATGTGCAGGAGCTTCACACAGACCATACAGCAGCCGCATTATCTTCCAGCTTTCCGATGAAGAAAACAAGGCTGAGACACTTGTTGATGCACAAGCCTATGGCTTTGAGGGTTTGGTATACATCTGTTGAATGAATGACTGCCCCTTGCTGGCAGGTGATAGAACGCCTCCTGCCCGATGGGGAGCGCATTGGAGCTTCCAAGTCCAGAGATGGCCCCTCTTATTCTGCCAGAGACAGTGGAGGGTGGGCGGAGGAGGAAAGAAGGAGCTTTCGGAAAGTAAACACTCAGTGACTAATACTCTTGACCACCCCAGGCAACAGTCTCCACAGCGTGTGTCCTGGTCTCTTTCTCTGCGGAGGGCAATTTGGGTCAACAAGAGCAGGGAGGAGCCCGGTGGTGAGGCCCCGTAGCCAAGGCTCCTTGGCCCAGAAAACACAAGGGGCTTTGATGCCTGCAGAAGGCAGTGGCTCTCCCCCCAGGATGCTGGGGCTGCTCTGGGGCTGCGCCCAGCTCCAGGGCAGGCCTCAGTCTGGCAGCCACGTCCGGGAGGTAGTACCTACAGCTCTGGGTTTAACATCGGGGCCTCGGAGTGAAAGAGAAGCCTCAGGGCTGCTGTCCCTGGGCAGCGTGGCCTTGGGCAGGTAGGAAACCCCATTAGACCTCACTGTCCTGGTCTGCGAAACAGAAAGAACAATAAAATAGTAACAGCATCTCTCTTAAAGGTTGCTAGGAAGAAGAAATGAAATCCTGCTTGCGAGGCGCTCAGCATTTTACCTGGCTCATAATGTCTGCCCAGAAAGTGAAACTACTAGCGTTACCCCCTCTGAGATTCCCAGAAGGCTCCCTCCGGAAAAAAGCAAACTCAGCCTTCTGGTCAGAAATTGCCCCTCACCCCCCAGGCCTGCAGGAGCCTGCCTCTACTCCAGTGACTCCCGTAAAACGTATCGCTCACACAAACAGCCCTTATTAGCCAACCCTAGCAGGCTTTCTCAGTGTCTTCAAGCTAAAATAAAATCACTTAGAAAATAAAACTCAATGGCTTCCTTGTCTCATGCCTTGCTGTCAAACCCTAAGTCTATGCTTCTCAAATCAGGGTACATGCACAGCTGGGGACCTGTGGGGTTTGCCAGAAATACCGTGGGATAAATATGGCACACTTGGGGAAAAGTTCAACATTTAAACTGAAGGTAACTGAAAACACTATCTTTGTAAAAAAAAAAAAGAAAGAAAGAAAGAAAGACACGATAAATGTGTGTATACGTATATACATACATGTGTGTATGATTTACCTAAATTAGAAATACGTAAATATAACATTGTATGCCAACTATAGTTCAACAATAAAAAATGTTTCTGTAAGAATCCATAAAAACAAAAGATATATATTAAACAAACAAAAAAATACCTTCCTTTGTGCAGGTATCCTGAGCCAAGCAAAGATTCTGTCTAGGAGGAGCAGCAAAAGAAGTGCCTGAAAGTCATGACACAGGTGGACCTCCAGGAAAGGTGGGGCAAGGTGTCTCCCCTCTGCAGCTTGAGCGAGGAAGCTCATGACCCCCAGATCCTGAGCATGAGCTTCGAGAGAGAGGATGAAAATGGTGGGGAGGCAGGAGACAAAGGGAGCACTGGGGACCCTGATACCCAGGCCTGTCCAAGAAGCAGCTCCCAGGTGACTGAAGACAATCCTGACTTGCCATGGCATCATCCACCCAGCCAGGAAGAGAAATTCTCCAGCTCCTTTACTGCCGGCGGCGTGGAGAAGGAACCGATGGTGATGCCTGGGAGGAAGGCCAGCTGGGGAAGAGATGAGTCCAAGATCACCCAGACCCAGGACTCCCCTGGACCAGGCACAGCTCCGGGGACCCTCCCTGGCGACCTCTCACACAAGTTGTTAGGTCGGACGCAACCACTTAGGGACTCACTACCTGCCGAAGATGATGAAGACTCCAGGGCAAACCTGGCCGCTGCCTTGGGGGTCCCATCCAGCTTCCCTGAGACGGGAGGAGATTTCTGTGCACAGAGAGGTGTAGACGCGTCCCCAGACAACTCCTCTCTCACGTGTTTCCCCAAGCCGGGGGGCAGCTGGGACCTCCCCACGCAGGAGACACGCACCCCGGCCCGGGGGTCTGCGCCCGCAGCCAGCCTGGCCGCCGCGGTGCTGGCCAAAGCGCGGACCGGCGGGAAGGGCCAGAAGCTGGAGGGTGCGCGCGAGGGTGGGCAAGAGGAGGCGCATCCCTACAAGTGCCTGCGGGGAGGAAGGGCCTTCCAGAAGCCCAGCAACCCTCTGAGTCCCTCGCAGCCGCGGGGCACCAAGCCCTACGCTTGTGAGCTGTGCGGGAAGGCCTACTCCCACCGGGGCACGCTCCAGCAGCACCGGCGCCTGCACACGGGCGAGCGGCCCTACCAGTGCCCCTTCTGCGACAAGTCCTACACTTGGTCCTCGGACCACCGCAAGCACATCCGTACCCACACCGGCGAGAAACCCTACCCGTGCCCGGACTGCGGGAAGGCCTTCGTGCGCTCCTCCGACCTGCGCAAACACCAGCGCAACATGCACAGCAACAACAAGCCCTTCCCCTGCGCGGAGTGCGGTCTGACCTTCAACAAGCCGCTGTCGCTGCTGCGCCACCAGCGCACGCACCTGGGCGAGAAGCCCTTCCGCTGCCCCGCTTGCGACAGGGAGTTCGCCGTGGCCAGCCGAATGATGGAGCACCAGCGTGTGCATTCGGGCGAGCGGCCCTTCCCCTGCCCCACCTGCGGCAAGTGCTTCACCAAATCCTCCAACCTGATCGAGCACCAGACGCTGCACACGGGCCAGAGGCCCTTCAAGTGCGCCGACTGCGGCGTGGCCTTCGCGCAGCCCTCGCGCCTCGTGCGCCACCAGCGCATCCACACGGGGGAGAGGCCCTTTCCTTGCGCTCAGTGTGGCCAGGCCTTTGCCCGCTCCTCCACCCTGAAGCGGCACCAGCAGATCCACTCTGGGGAGAAGGGCTTCCTCTGCGCGGAGTGCGGCAGGGCATTCCGCATCGCGTCGGAGCTGGCCCAGCACATCCGGGTGCACAACGGGGAGAGGCCCTACCAGTGCGAGGACTGCGGCCAGGCCTTCACCAGGTCCAATCACCTCCAGCGGCACCGAGCCAAGCACAGTACCTGCAAGAAGGAGCCCGTCCCCTCCTCCTCTGATGAGTGACGGCTCTAGCAGCTAACTCTCAGGGAAGGTGAAGACACTGTGCTGCGACCTCATTGCTTGGAACCCTCTTTCATGGACAAGCCCATTCATGTGGTAATATCACCTAGCCCCACCGGTCAGCCTCCCCCCCCCCCCCCCCCCCGCCGTGAGTCGCCGGCCATCCGGTGATCCATGTGATCCATGTGTTCCATCTCTTGTGTAAGAAGTAAGAGGAGAGCTGGCATCCACGTGTGTGGTTTCATAACAGTCTCTCTTCTGAATCTCCGAGGTCATATTCAATGGGAAAAGGATAAGAAACAGTAGTGAGAACTGGTCAAGAGTTGAGTTCCTTGGTGGGGGGGGGATCTCACTGGATTGGGAATTATATCCTGGGCACTGTGCAAGCCTCCAGGGACACAGTGAAGAAGATTGTCCTGTCCTGCCCTCAAAGCCATATGCAAATACTAGGAGGTCATCAGGGGCTGGTCCTCTGGGGAGAAAGGTATTTTTCAGTTTTTACATGAATAAAGGAATCCCTGGAAGTGGTCTCAGTGAGCAACTCTTCCAGAGCAACAAAGCCTCCCTGGGGTTAGCTCAGACCCAGCCAGACAGCACATCATTTCACTTTCCTACCAAAATTACTTTACCCTTGGGAAATGGGTCTTGGCTTTGAAGCAGAGAAGGCTTTTATCTTAAAGAGAGGGGAGTTTATGTCCTATGTTTTGGAACCAGTTATTCTGTAAGTCCAGAGCAAACTTAACATCTGAAAAAGAAGTCCCTTCCTCTTTATAGTCAATCACAGTAAGCTGGAACTAATCTGAGTCTCACCCACAAAATTTACATGTGCTTCCTGTCTGGCCACCTCTTTTCCTGTTCCCACCCTGGGAACTTAAACCATATGTAATTTACAGAGAGTAATATGCCCATTTACAGAGAGATATATAACATTTCTCCAAATGGACCTGACCATAGTTCAAGAAACCTCTTAGATTCATTTAAATTTTCCAGGTCATTAGCTCCAATTTGAAGTAAATAAAATAAAATACCCCTTGCCCAAGTGCCAATTGGTTTGTCTTTGTTTCAAAGTCTTAAAACCAGGTTTGGAAACCCATAGGACTCACAATTACTCTCTAATGAGGTTATTTGCAATCTGTATTACCAACAGCCATTCTTCAAAATGTATTGATTTTCTGCCGTTTAAAGTCAGTAGTTCTTAGCTCTGGACCCCAACTATGAAGAATCCATGACTTCACAGAGTTCCTTTATGCACAGGGGCAAATATGGAATAAGATATTCCATAAGAACGTATAGTACTCTCCTTTTTGGATATCTTTAGCATATTCCAAAAATTGCCACCAAAGTGTGCCAAATCTGAATTTCTCTTGAATTCCACCTTGACACATGGGAGCCAAAGAGAAGTGATACATGTTGTCATACTTTGTTTGATAAAGGTAACCTTGGTAAAAGAGTTCGGACTGCATGCCTGGAAGTTTTGTGTCTTAGCTCCCTTAGACACATCTGCATGTCCAACCAGCAGAGTTAGCTGGTTCAGGGTCTGGCATGAGGGCCAATGGTTGAGTTATTAGTCCACCCCCATCATTTACCAGTGATATGACCTTGGCTTCAGCTTCTGCATCTGCATTGGCTAATCAGGAGTGATAGTAATGGGGCAATAAAAGTTGGAATTATCCCGCCAGGGAAGGCAATTTGGCTGAAGGCACAGTTATTAAATTGGCAGAAGTCATAAAAATCAACCATAGCCTTATGATTATGAACAGAGTAAAGGCTAGTATATTTTTCCTGGGTAACCAATGAAATCTCTGAAGACTGAAGTCATTATTTCTTTTCTTCGTATTGTTTTTTTTTTTTTAAGATGGTTGTTAGTACAGTTTTGATACTTTAAAATTTTAACTTGCTTCTATAAATTTTTAAGGCAGCTGTTCCCCAAACCAGTTCATAGAATGGCTCTAGAGAAGTTACCTGAGCTATTTGTTAACCATACAACTTGCTGAATCCTAGCTCTGAATATTGAAACAAGTCTGCTGTGCATCTTGGATTCTAATTTTTTAAGCTTCCCATATTTTCTGATGCACAGCCAAGTTGGGACCACTGGTATAATTAATTATTGGTGATAATTAACTTTTATCATCTAGTAAGCAGATAACATGAAAGTAAGCAGGCAATCAGGATGAGATCACAATAGAACGAGACTAAAAATAGGTTCAAACTGCTAGAATACCTCCTGACTTGGATATGGTGGACTCAGACTAGCAAGCAGGTTTTGATGTGGTCCCATAATCTCATTTCTGCAGATTAGATGCAGTATCTAGGTATAGCTTCCAGATGGGCACACCTTTGGGGAGAAAGTGTGTCCTTTTTGTTAATAGGCAGAAAAAAACTAGGTTAGCCTGTGCTGGTATCTTTGTAGCTACATACTGTGTTTCTGGAATATAGGGAATTATAATATACTGAATAGACTGAAGAGAAGTTCAATAATCCTTCAGTGGTCTCACATAATCAAGTCACATTTTAAGGAAAATTCTCCAAACCAGTCTTTTCTCACACCAGCTGCAAGCATCATATTGAATAGGTATTGCAGGGGAATGAAGTCCCCTTACTGTAGCCATAGGTCACTGGGCTGGACGGTGGTGCTCAAGCAAAAGGCCACAATACATGGAGTGGAGAAGCAGATACAAAAGAGAAGCCAACCAACTACAAACTGGTGTGGCACAAATTCTGCCCAGTAAAGTCTGCCCGTCCAAAGTGAGGGCATTTGAATCCTCTGTTTGCAGAAGAAGCAGCGTCCGAATAAGGTTATTCCGGCTCAGACTGTTACCCCAAAGAATAGTGAACGACTTTTCTAGTTTTCTAGTTTTCTATAAACTTTCACATCATAGCAGACAATCTTATTTCCCTGTTCTGTAATTAAAAATCAGAGCAGGGCCTTCTTTGTAATAGAATTTAAAGCTTCTCTCTAGACTAGTGCCATTTCCACAGTTTAGTTTGCCAAAATTAATTTGGATATACCAAATAAAAATGATCATTTATAAGATTCTACTTAATAAACATTCCTTTGAATCCACCAGAGTCCACAGTCATCATGATCCATATCCTTTAGATGGATAGTGATAATAGCACCTTACATAGTATTCAGTGTGCCGGGGACTGTTTTAAGTGTTTCATATATATTAACTATTTAAATGTTAAAGTAAACCTATGGTGATTATCATCTTTAATTTTAAGATGAGGAGATCAAGAGACAAAGAAGTTGTATTGCCCAAGACCTCATGGCTAGGGGGTAGCATTATGATGTTTTGACACTTAAGCATTAGGTATAGCCATTTAATGGTTCCAGAGACTCTGCTGTTAACCACAGGGCCAACTGCCTGTTTGGCATAGAAGAATACTCTGCAATTATTGGTGATATGCATTTTAAAAGTAGGTCACCATAAATTCAACAGAAGATAAAGGTTGAAATACAGCCCAGCAGAAATCATGGCATGACCCAGGAAGGAAGACCTATGGATTTGGGAGAGCCTGGGTTGGCAGCTAGTAATCATTAATCTCTTAAGAGAAGCAGTCAAGAAGCCGGCCAGCAGAAAGGGATTTGACTTCCTTGAAGGCCAACCGATGTTTTATCTCACTAACAAAACATTCCATGTATGCTATACACAGAAAAATACACCCACAAAGAATCTTGACACTCAACAAAATTTTATCATCCAAATGCATGCACATTCAACAGCTATATTACCTCTGATATGAACCCAACAAATCATCCAGGAGTTCCGACTAAGCCTTAAAAATTCTTGCAGGGAAGGAAATCATCAATTTAATTGATAGAATACTCAAGCAGATGTCACTGCTAGACTCAGAACTAGACGGTGAACTACAAACTCAATGACCCATGAAAATATTACCACAGATGGAATGACAATGTTTCATCGAGCCAGAAAATGGTGTCTTTTTAAGGTTGACAGGGAAGCTCATTTTTAACATCAGTTACCCTCTCTCCATTCTGCATAAAACCATGCCAGAACAATTAAAAATTTTCCACACTGGCTAGATAATATTTTTCCATGTTTTCTCCTTAACCACTTCCCACGCCATCAGTCAAATTGGCTCAGAGTTTCACTGAGTGGTGTCAAGTTCAGCGAATAAATGGAGCTTCTATAAAACCTAAGCTATAATTAGGATTTAAAGTAATATTGACCTCTTCTGTAAAGCAAAGAGGAGGTAGAGGAGGCCAAGGACAAGGAGGGAAGGAAGGATCTTCTGTGGTAGTTCAGATGAAGCCAAGGACAAGTGGGTTAGTAAGTAAGATGAAGAGATGTCCAAGATTTCAGAGGTGGAGTCAATAAGGTTTGGTGAGAAGATAATAACAGCTACCATTCAGTGAACACTTTTTAGGGTTCTGGCACTACATCCATCATCCCAACTAATCCCTACAACAATCTGTTATGGGAGACGCTTGAAAAAGATTCCCACGTGGGATATGCAACTGTTTTCTCGGAAGGCAGATAAGACGAATAGGTCTTGGCTATTGTCTATCAGTATTGTTAAGTGAGGGTCACTAAGGTCTATGTGCTTCTTCTAAGAAATAGGTTGCATCTCTGCCACATGGAAAAATTGCTGCAAATCCCCCACCTTTTGTTTAGAAATCATGCTTGCTTACATTTTTATTTTCTGCAGTTGTGGTGGTTCAAAAAATATTCCCACATAAGTGTCCATCAAGGGATGAATGGATAAAGAAGTTCTGGTATACACATACACACACACAATGGAATATTAGCTGTGAGAAGAAGGAAATCTCCCATTTGTGACCACACAGATAGACATGTTGAGGGTATTATGTATGCTAAATGAGATAAGTCAAACTGAGAAAGACAAATGCTGTATGATATCACTTATATGTGGAATCTAAAAAAAAAAAAAAAATCAAACTTATAGAACCAGATAGAAAAGTGGTTGCCAGAGGCTGGGGGTGGGGGATTTGGGGAGATGTCAGTCAAAGGGTACGA